TAGGTCCTTGTTATTTATTACTTTGAATATTTCTTGCCACTCCCTTCAGACCTGCATAGTTTCTTAGAGAAATCAGCTGACATTTGTATGGGTCCTTCCTTGTAGGTAATTAACTGTTTTTCTTTTGCTGCTTTTAATATTCTCTCTTTGTCTTTTGCTTTTGGCATTTTTTTTAATTTATTTATTTTCTATTTTTTTATTTATTAAATTATTATCTGTGTACATATTTTAACATTGTCCCCCCCCGCAAACATACCCTCCCTCGCCAGAGTTTTGTGTCCATTGGTTGTACTTATATGCATGTATACAAGTCCTTCGGTTGATCTCTTATCTCCCCCAGATCTCCCTACTCTCCCCGCTGTAATTTTACAGTCTGCTTGTTGCTTTACTGTCTTTATATCTATCTTTTGGTTTGTCAGTTTATAATGTTTTTTAATATCCATAAATGAGTGAGGCCATGTGGTATTTCTCTTTCATTGACTGGCTTATTTCACTCAGCATGATGTTCTCTAGTTCTATCCAGGTTGCTGCAAATGATGAGAATTCCTTCTTTTTTATGGCAGCATAGTATTCCATTGTGTAGATATACCATAGTTTTTTAATCCAATCATCTGCTGACGGGCACCGAGGCTGTTTCCAGATTCTAGCTATTGTAGATTGTGCTGCTATAAACAGTTTATAGCTGCTTTTGGCATTTTAATTATGATGTGTATTGGTATGGTTCTCTTTGGATTCCTTTTGTTTGGGGTTCTCTACGCTTTCTGGACTTGTAAGTCTATTTCTTTTACCTGGTGGGGGAAGTTTTCTGTCATTATTTCTTCAAATAGGTTTTCAATATCTTGCTTGCTCTCTTCTTCTGGCACCCCTATAATTTGGATATTGGTAGGTTTGAAGTTGTCCCAGGGGCTCCTTATACTATCTTCATATTTTGGGATTCTTTTTTCTTTCTTCTTTTCCGCTTAAGTGCTTTTGGTTCTTCGTATTTCAAATCTTTGATTTGATTCTTGGTATCCCCTAGTCTGCTGTTGGATCTTTGTATATTTTTCTTTATTTCAGTCAGTGTCTGCCTAATTTCTAGTTGGTCCTTTTTCATATCCTTGAGAGTCTCACTAAATTTCTCAGGTTTCTAGAAGATTCTTGAGTAACTTTGTAACCGTGGTTTTGAACTCTATATCCAGTAGTTTGCTTTCCTCAATTTCTTCATTTGTGATCTGTTTCTTTGTCTCAACATTTTGGCTGCTTCCCTGTGTTGATAGAGTGGCTCTGTGTGCTAAGTATCCTATAGGGCCCAGAGGCTCAGTCTCCCCAGTTACCTGAGGTGGACACTCTTGGTGCACCTCTTTGTGGGCTGTGTGCACAGTCGTATTGTAGGTGGCAGCACTAAGGAGCAGTGAGCTGAGCAGTAAGGAGCAGCGAGCAGGTGAGTGGTAAGAAATGAGGGGTCCCTGACTGCAAGAGAGCACAGGCTGGACTGAGGGACTCTTCCCCACCCCCGTGCACGAATTTTGTGTATGGGGTCTTTAGCAGACTGGTGCAACCACTGTGGAGAACAGTATGGAGTTTCCTCAAAAAACTGAAAATGGAACTTCCATTTGACCCAGTAATCCCATTCCTAAGAATATATCCCAAGAAACTAGAAACACCAATCAGAAAGGATATATGCACCCCTATGTTCATAGCAGCACAATCTACAATAGCTAGAATCTGGAAACAGCCTAGGTGCCCGTCAGCAGATGATTGGATTAAAAAACTATGGTATATCTACACAATGGAATACTATGCTGCCATAAAAAAGAAGGAATTCTCATCATTTGCAGCAACCTGGATAGAACTAGAGAACATCATGCTGAGTGAAATAAGCCAGTCAATGAAAGAGAAATACCACATGACCTCATTTATGGATATTAAAGAACATTATAAACTGATGAACCAAAAGACAGATATAAAGACAGTAAAGCAACAAGCAGACTGTAAAATTACAGCGGGGAGAGTAGGGAGATCTGGGGGAGATAAGAGATCAACCGAAGGACTTGTATACATGCATATAAGTACAACCAATGGACACACAACGGGAGGGAGGGTATGTATGGGAGAGGAGGGGCAATGTTAAAATATGTACACAGCTAATAATTTAATAAAAAAAATTTAGTATATGTGCTGCCGAAGCGAGCACTAATAAAAAAAAAATTAAAAAAAAAAAATACCCTTCTGTTTGTCAGCCCTTCCTCCCACCTCTTGCCACTGGAAATTGTTGATTTGTTTTCAATCTCTATAGTTTTGCCTTTTTCTAAATGTAATATAAATGTAATCATACAGCTTGTAGCCTTTTTATTTACTTATCAAAATGCATTGAAATTCATCCATATTTTTGCTTGTATTAATAGTTCTTCCTTTTTGTTGCTGAGTAGTATTTCATTGAATGAATGTACCATGGCTTGTTTTTACGAAGACATTTGGGTTGTTTCCAGTTTTTGTCAGTCGGGAATGAAACTGTGATAACCATTGGCATACAGGTTTTGTTATGAGCCTAAGCTTTTATTTCTCTTGGGCAATACATAGTTGTGGAATTGCTAGGTTTTATGTAAATATAGTTTTAACTTTATAAGATACTAGAGGCCCGAAATTCGTGCAAGCATAGATCCTCATGGCTTGGCTGCCCTGCCCCCTACCCACTGGTCATTCCGGAAGGTCTTTCCTAAAGGTTGTTCTGCCATCTGGCCTAATTAGCATATTAGCTTTTTTATATAGGTTAGATTTTAAACAATAAAATTCTACTTCTTAATTCTGTTTAGGTTACTAATTTTCTTCTTGAGTGAGCTTTGATAATTTTTGTCTTTCAAATAATTTAATAATCTCATCTGTTGAATTTACCGGTATAAAATCTCCTAACTTCTGGTTTTTATTTATTTATTTTTGATAATCCTCACTTGAGGGTAGTTTTCCCATTGCTTTTCAGAGAGAGAAGGGAGGGAGACATCAATGTTAGAGAGAACTGGTTACCTTCCACGTGTGCCTCGAAAGGGTTGGGGTTTGTGGGGAGAAGCAAACCAGCAATCCAGGTGAGTGTCAGGACTCAAACCCCTGACCATTTGGTGGGTGGGCCAGTGCTCCTAACTCTGATCATACCAGCCAGGGCCCCTGGTTTTCCTTTGCAATATCTGTAGAATCCGTGGTAAAGTTAATATTTGAAATTTGTCGCTTCTTTTTTTCCTGTTCACTTTGGCTGGAGGTTAATCAATTTTATAGATCTTCTCAAAGAACTAAGCTTTGGTTTCATTGATTTTTGGCTATTTTGTTTTCTGTTGACTTCCATTCTGATTTTTATTTACTTTTTTATTGCTTCAGATTTAACATAATATAGAATTTTTTTTTCTTCTCTGTCTCTGGAAGTAAATTGACAGATTTTTGAACCCTAGACTCAATCATTTTACAATGTGTGTGTGTGTGTGTGTGTGTGTGTGTGTGTGTGTGTTTGGTTTTTAGGTGAGAAGATAGGCTTGCTAATAAGGTTTCAGAGAGTGACTTTTTCATTAGTAGAAGGACACAAGATTTTCTTTCTATTTTGAATATTGATTTTTATGCCTGTTCATCTGACATCTGTTTCTAATTATAAATGAAGTATATCTATAAATTATGAAAGTACTTGTAATTCCCATGACTAATCCTGTGAAATTTACCACACATAGAGCTATCAAAGTTAAATATGTGATGTCCTTTAAGTGAGGCAAAATATTATGAGGGAAAAAATTCTATTCCTCTCTCTAACCTTAGCAATTATTTAACCTAAGGATTATACAATGTTTACTTGAACTCAGAATATAAAGCATTTAAATCCCGAGTTTTTCCCAAATGAGTAACCATTAACTAAGATATAAGGTAGTTGTGGATTTGTTTTTATTTGATATATGAGATTAAGAAATTTTTGTTGTGGATGGAGTGAAATTTGCATTACTCTTAGGTTACCTTCCAAAGCCTGAATTAAAATTAAGGAAATAAGTTGCTCTACTGTTTGAGCATTTTACTTAAATAGTAAAGCAGATTTGATTTCCATTGTATATAAAAGTGATTTTATATTTAAGACGGATAAAATTTGCTTGAAAAATCAATTTTTCTTTCTAAATCCTTTTTTTTTAAATTAATTTCTTTATTGGTTAAGGTATTACATATTTGTCCTCAACCCCACATTCCAATCCCCCACCCCCCCACTCTTGCCCCAACACTCCTATTGTCCTTGACCACTGGTTAGGCTCTTATGTGTGCATATAAGTCCTTTGGTTGATCTCTCCCTTTTATCCCCACCCTCCCTTTGAGGTTTAACAGTCTGACCCATGGCTCCTTATCTCTGGGTCTGTTCTTGTTCATCAATCTATGTTGTTCACCATTTCCCCTAGATGAGTGAAATCATGTCCTACTGGAAATATATTTATAAGAATAAAAAATGAGACAAGCAATAATCATTATGCTGAAATCCTTATTTTTAAAAAAGATATTCTTGAATTAGAAATATAGATGTATAGAAATTGGAGTATTGCTAGAGGGATGTGATAATTGTAGTACTACATGGAAATTATTTTATTTACTTTTCTAATTGCCTGTTACATTTTATCTTTTAGATCCTATTTGACCAAACTCAGAGATCAATAAAGGCACAGCTTCAGAACTTTGTTAAAGAGTAAGTCAATTGCAGTGAAGGAAAAAGTAAAGCATGTAGTTAATTATTACATCTAGAAGTTGGTATCTTTGGAGAGAAATGATGGAAGAAATAGTGCATTATGAAAATATTAGAGCTTTTTTTGGTTTTGCTTTGTGAAATGTGTATTGCACTTTTTCCAGAAGTATTTTATATAGAATCAGACAAAATACCTTATAGTGAGTCATTTATACTGTAAAACATCTGCTCAAGATACATAGGTAGAATTATTATTAATTAATTATATAAATGTAAAGAATCCAATGACCTTTCAAAATCAAAGCAAACCTCAAGAATAATTGAAATACTATCATATTGTAGTTGATATTAAATTTTGCATTCTGTCAGTATGGTATTTGAAGGGAAGATAATATATGGAAATGAGTAATGAAAGTGCATGCTTTTTGCTACATATGAGCCTTTTGTGTCACATTCATTACATTTCTAAAAAATACCCATCTTTTCTGTTTTTCCCCCCCAGATTAATTCAGATTTTCTTTTTTAATTCCTGACCGAAAATATATATTAAGTTACAGATAAAGTTGATTATAATATTATACAATATTCAGGATAAATTATAGATGTTATGAGCTGTAAATAGTGGCAGATCACAGAAATGTAATGCATTGCCATTTTAGTAGTTTATAATTGTTATAGTGGAGGTGATGTCTTGCAGATTCTTTATAATTTACTTCATAATAGGCTAATATTCAGAATGTCCTGATAGAATGTATACATGGCAGTTGATGGCTTCTTACAAGAGTTCTTTCTTAGGTAAACTTTATTATTATTATTTTTTAAAAAGTTGTCTGTCTTCAAGTTATTTTGCCAATTTCCCTGATAGAAAAAGTAAAAGCAATCAATGTTTCTAACTCTCTATCCCTCTCTCTTCTTCTCTGTAAAAATAAATAAATAAATAAATAAATAAATAAATAAATATATTTTTAAAAAAGAAAAAGTAAAAGCAAAGTGATATTATATACTTACATAAGATTATTAATGAAATCAAGGATTTCAGATTTTCAGACTATTGAAATGAATACTGTTATCCTTTATGAGTATAAGAATTCTTTTAGAAAGCATTATAAATTTGTGTTTTAAAAATACATTCATGTCCTTTGGGCCAGTGGTTCCCTCAACAAGGAATGAATGTTGTTTCTTAAAGTGTGGTCTGAGACCACCCATAGCAGTAAAACCAAGGGTGTGTCTTAACACCCACCCCTCCACCCCACAAACACAGATTTCTGTGATTCATCACAAAGACTAATGAATTGTAATCTCTGGAAGAGGAGATTATATTTGCATGTTAAATTTGCATTTTTAGCAACTTCTCTGGGGTGATTTTTATGTATTTTACTACTTAAAAATCATTTGCTTAAATAATGATACATGCCCCTGAATTTGTTTTGAGGGGGGAAAATTAACTTTGCCTTTTATGTTTCTGTAATGTTAATTTGATAATTTATTTTCACCTCAGATTCAAAAATCTAAGTAAGGAAACATTAGGGGACTATGTTGGAATTACATATAATTAAAAACAATATATACTGTAGTCAGAAGAACTATTGAGTGTTATTGCACAGTGAATCAAATAAGTAGAGGAACATAATTAAATTCTAAGTGTTATTTTGCTAAAATTTTTGATCAAGAAGATTTTATAATGTTTAACTGTTTTTATTTTTTAGAGATCTTAGAAAATTCAAAGATGCCAAGAAGCAATTTGAAAAAGTCAGTGAAGAGAAAGAAAATGCACTAGTAAAAAATGCTCAAGTACAGAGAAACAAACAGCACGAAGTTGAAGAGGCCACAAACATTCTGACAGCAACAAGAAAATGTTTTCGACACATAGCCCTCGACTACGTTCTTCAGGTATGTTTATTATATATTCTTTAAAAATGCTTACTAGATGGAGGAGGATCAACTGGGGATAAAAGGGGAACGTCTGTAATACTTTCAGCTTAAGAAAAATGCTTAACGAACATGTCTTACTTTTGAGTGGTTGCACTGAAAATAATAATATATATTTTTTAGTTTAAAATTAAACTGAAATTTTGTGAAAAAAAATTCACTTGTTTGTATATCTCTCTGTGTATGAATATGTATAACTTTGCTTGTGATTTCTTCCCCTTTTCAGTTAACATTATACTTTCCCCATTTAAAATGTTATAAAAAGCATTTTTAATTTTTATATTTTATGGAGTTGCTATGTTAATTTAATTAATATTCGACTGAGACAATTTTAGTGTTGCCACTTTTACTGGCAATAGTGAAAATATAGTTTTCAATAATTTTAAGTGATGATAACATCTTTGCATATAGGTCTTTTTCCACATTTCTGATTTTTTCTTTAGGGTAGATTCTAGAGATACCAAGGCTCACCGTATTGCCAAATGAAAAATATATCTAGAATATCTAGAAGTAGTGCTCTCATGTTTTGTATTAGGTGCTGTTTTTTAAAACTAAAGATTTGTTTTTTTAAAACTAGTGTCTGGTATTTTGCCTGGTGATCTTCTGGTCTAAACTTGAAACCAGTTTGAAGGTAATAGGTCTCTAAAGAAATTTAAGAGAAATGAAAAATGAAGGCACACATTATACATACATTATTTCACATGTGCATTATGTGTCCCTATAGGTCATGGATTTTAAAGCTTAAAAGCATTAAGGCTTAGGGAATTATCCTTTCTAAATCTTCTTGTTATAAAAAAGCAGCGAGTCCCCAAAGATTGTTGACTTAATGACAATCACAGACTATTTCTTAAAGCAGTCCTATCTAATAATCCTATCTAATAAAGAAGAAATATGCAAATTGACATCACTTCCATCACAAAGATGGCAGCGCCCATGGCCAAAAGATGATGGCACCCAGTCCCCTCAGCCCTGCCGTAGTCGTCCTTTTAGCCTTGCCATGGTGAGGCCAAGCAGGCTCCTGCAGAGTCTACAGGGTCCTCGCAGAGAGCAGACATCAGGGCCCTACTTGCTACCTGTCTGTGGAGGTGAGCCAGAGAGCAGACAGCAGGGCCCTATTGCCCCTTGCCATGGTGGCGAGGGGCAAGCAGGCTCCTTCAGAGAGCAGACACAAAAGCCTGCGGCAATGACAAATAGGTCCGCAGGGAGCAGGCCTAAACCATCGGTAGGACATCCCCTGAGGACTCCCAGATTGATGAAGGTGCAGGTCGGGCTGAGGGACCCAACCCGCACTCCCCCACCCCCTGTGCACAAATTTTATTCACCGGGCCTCTAGTACATAAATAATAGTATACAAGCTAGTGATTAAAACTAACCAATAACTTTGCAAAATAGTAGAAAGTGACTAATATTTTTTCTCTTAAGTTCCTGTTTAATTAGTGGAAACTTAAATTTTATTTAATTTATTATTATTTATTATTTTTTTAATTTAATTTAATTTTTTTTTCAATTTTTTTAAATTAAATTATTATCTTTGTACATATACCATTGCCCACCCCCTCTCATATATGCCCTCCCTCCCCAGAGTTTTGTGTCCATTGGTTGTACTTATATGCAAGTATATAAGTCTTTCGGTTGATCTATTATCTCCCCCAGATCTCCCTACCCTCCCCGCTGCAATTTGACAGTCTGCTTGTTGCTTTACTGTAAGAGTGAAGTAGCCGAAACTGGTTTGCCTCAGTGGATAGAGCGTCAGCCTGCGGACTGAAAGGTCCCAGGTTCGATTCTGGTCAAGGGCATGTACCTTGGTTGCGGGCACATCCCCAGCAGGGGGTGTGCAAGAGGCAGCTGATCGATGATTCTCATCAATGTTTCTCACTCTCTATCCCTCTCTCTTTATCTCTTTAAAAAAATCAATAAAATATATATTTAAAAGAGTGAAGTAAACTCCCTTTATTAATGAAAGGCTTTTAGAATAGTGTAGTCTGTATTTTCTGTCTCTTCACTACCTCACATTCATACAACTTTCTGTGGTAGTATGAGTTCTCAGTCTTCCTACCCCATTACTCTGAAGTACTCATGCTAGTGTTATTCATTAGATACATTTTAGTTTTTAGCCAACTTGACTATTGCGTGTCACTGAAAATTGAGGCCATACTTCTCCTTGAAATGTAAATTTTGTCTTGATTTTTCTTAAACCATTTTCAGATCATCATCTTCTGTTTCTTTTCCATTTCTGTCATGAGCTTCTCTCCTTTGCCCACCTTTTCACTCTTTTTTTGTGTTTTATCTTTGGTCTTACTCTTTTCTGACTTTATAATTTCTCTGACAGTCTCATTATGCTTGATAACCTTTATATAGAGACGACAGGTTCTTTTTTTTTTCTCTCTCTCTCTTCCACATAAGTATCTCATTTTTTTGTGCCCAAAGCTTAATTCTTCCTCCTAAACAGCTTCTTTTTGTTTTTTCCTAACTGGTTAGGATCACCCTCTTAATCATTGAAGTTCAGATTTGGAGAATTATATTAGATATTCTCCTCACCCTCAACTACTATATCTAACAACCAAAACTACCTTGAAAATTCTGTGTACCTCTTAAATCTGTTCTCTCACTCTTGCTGTAGCCCTCACACAAGTTCTTACTGTGTGTGTGTGTGTTTGTGTTTAATATAGTACGTATATTAAGATGTTCTCATGCAGTTGGTCTTTCTTGCATTGTTTTTACTACCCCCATTATTAATTTATTCTCTGTTCTGTGGTCAGAGTTATTCAAACTTCTTCAGGCAAAGTGAATTATTTTTCCCTCTGCCTCCTCTGTGCTACATTAATATTGTCATACACATTGCTGTTGAAGTACTTAACCCATTTATTCTAATTTTCTAATTATTTATTTATATGTCTTTTCTACTAGATTGTATCTTTTTCCTCTAGTGTGGTGGTTGGAAAGTAGTAATACATGTTTTTTTGAGAGAACGAATGGTTTAATTTCTTTTTATCCAAGGTTTTTTTTTTTTTTTTTTTTTTTCCATTTATTTTTAGAGAAAGTGGAAGGGTGGGCGGGGGGGACAGAAAAAGTGGGAGAGAGAGAAACAGCAGTGTGAGAGAGACACCTTGATTGGTTGCCTCCTGCACGCACACAGAGTGGGGCAGGGATTGTACCTGAAGTCCAGGTACATGCCCTTCACTGGGAATTGAACCCCCGGCATTTTGGGGTTTGGGCAGATGCTCTAAGCCACATGTGTCAAACACAAGGCCCGCGGGCCAAATCCATCCCGCCAGGCCTTGCAATGTGGCCCGCACCGCGCTGTCATCACTGCACTCCGCTGCGTTTCTATCACAATGACAGTTTATGACTGTTCAGTAAACCATTCGGCCTGCGATTTAGGCTGGATTTTAGATTTTGGCCCCTTCTCTGATTGAGTTCGACACCCCTACTCTAAGCACTGATCAATATTGGCCAGGGCCAAATAGCTTAATTTTAAATTTAATTTGAGAAGAGGGATACAGATAAAATAGTCGTTATTTTCAAACTTACATATAAAATTTCCATTTTTTTTGGTGTCCATCTAATAGTTTTGTTAAGAGTTCCAACTTTCCTTTATTAGTTTGTTTGATTTTTCTGATGAGAACTGTTGTCTCATTTTATTATATGGCCGAAGTGTCTTAGAGAATATTAAATATAAAATTTCCAGATTTATAAAGGTTTTCATGATTTAGCTTCTCTAAATATTTCCCATTTGTTTTTTATTTGTATGTTTTTGTTTGCTTTTTTGTTTTTAATCCTCACCCAATGATATTTTTCCATTGATACCCTGAAGGGAATGTGCAGGAGACAGCTGATCATTGTTCCACTCGCACATCAATGTTTTTCTCTCCCTCTCCCTTCTCTCTTAAAATGAATAAAAATATATTTTTAAAATTAAACAAAAGAAGAAGAAAATATAAGGTAGTTATGATTACTATGAATAAAATAACAGGGTTGATATACTAGAGAGTGTGTATAGGTCTATTTTAGACCTTTGTAAAGAGAAAGTATTTAAACTATCTTAACATGAAGTTAGAACAGCCAGTATGCAGGCATTGAGGTGGGAGTAGTATTGGATTGTGGTTGAACACAGAAAGGGGGAAAGTGGTAGAAAAGTAGGTTGGAGAAGTAGGTAGGTAGAGGCCAATCACAAAGGATCTTGAAGACTGGTAGGGAGTTAGGAAGCTTTAAGCTAGATGGAACATGATCTTATTTATATTTTAAAAAGATCGCTCTGGTTGCTGAATAGATTGTAGGAAGTCAAGAGTGGAAACACTAGTTCATAGACTATTGCAGCAATCTAGAAGAGATATGATGATGGTTGATGATAGTGGTAAAAGTGATGACAGTTTCATTCGGATATATGTTGAAAGGTCTTGATGAGCAAATCAGATAAGAAATGGGGGGGAAAAATGGAACTCAAATATCTATCAAAATGATAGGTTTAGCATTACAATATTATGATTTAAACTCAGCCTACTTTTCTTTGAGATCAAAATGGGTTAGAATTTCATTGGTATGTTTGTCTTAACAGTTTTCACAAAAGTAGGCCAAAGGGTGGAAAATTTGAACTTTGTTTTTATTTACTTTTTAGGGAAAATGTTAAACCGTTAGGATAAACAACTTTTACAATATTGCAGTATGGATTACTTTTTAAAATAATGTGTGGATGACTAACGAAGTGTATTTTCCCTCAGATTAATGTCCTTCAATCAAAAAGGAGATCAGAAATCCTAAAATCAGTAAGATATTTATTGAAATGATGTTTTAAATATTTTAATATGAAATTACCTGTGTGTGTGTGTGTGTGTGTGTGTGTGTGTGTGTGTGCCGTGCGCGTGAGCACTTACATATTTATTCCAGGTTCATAATTAATTTATTTATCTTTTTTGTATTAATTATATGTCATCTACTTTTTGTTTCTGTCATCTTACAGTTATTTGTGTGTGTCTTATCACTTAATACATTAATCTCCTTAAATCAGACATTTAAATATTTAAGATTCAGGGCATACATAAATAGCATTTAGAGAATTTTTTCCTTAGTGTTGCTGATAATGTATCAGCCTTTGACTTGTTCTTTGGTGTGCAGTTAGAGAACAAAGGGGATGAAAATTAAGGATCACTTTTTTCCCCCTTAGCTTTTGCAACCCATGTTGACTTATATTTTGTTCTAAAGTTAATAAGGAAATGGGCAGGGAATGGTAGTGGTGTGGCATTACACTTTTATATTTTGAAAAACTTAGAAATAATTTTTCCTGTCTGATTTTGTTCACTGACACTATTTTTTTTTTCCTTTGAAAGGGTATACTTAAATTGCTTTTGATTCTTATCCCTAGGTAGCTTTTTTCTAAAATTTGTGTGTGTGTGTGTATTTTTGTGTGTGTGTATGTATACACACACACATGTGTATGTGTGTGTGTGTGTGTGTATATATATATACATGTATATATACACACACACACATGCACACACATACATATATACAAACACACACATATATATGTATGTATATGTATGTATATAGTTGTTACTTTTTAATCTGATAATTACATTTTACTTCTGGTTTACATCTACCTCCTCCTGATTGAGAGTAATGTATGTTAGTTATAGGAAATTCGAAAATAAAATGCATGAAGAAATAAATAAAAATACTTATAAATCTTACCACTAAGGGAGAATCACTGTTAATATCTTGATGGCGTGGGTGTTTCAGGGGGCAATGGGGTGATAAGGACATATATGTAATACCTTAATCAATAAAGGAAAAAGTAAAAGTAAGTCATAAGGAAGAGAAAAAAAAAATCTTGGTTTATATCTTTGTCTTTTTTTTTCTTTTTCTGAGTGTGTGTGTGTGTATACACACACACACATATACATACATATATATATATATATATATATATATATATGAACATTACTATATACTTGTAAAATTGCATTTAATTTTTAAAAGAAAATAGGAATAATTTCTATATATTGTTTCATAACTTTCTTTTTTCACTGATACGCCCCAAAATCATCAGATGCCATTAAATATTTTTTATGTAATGTTGACTTTTGTTGCCAGGCACAGTTCCATCATGCCGATTTACGAGGGGTGGGCAAACTTATTTTTGAAGGGCTAGGTAGTAAATATGTTAGGTTTTGTGAGTGATATGTTCTGTGTCACATCGACTCAAGCTGTGCTGCTGTTATCAGAAAGCAGCCATAGACAATATATAAATGAATGACATGGCTATATTCTAATAAAACTTTATGGACTTGGAAATTTTAATTTCATATAATTTTCATGCATCATGAATTTGATATCTTTTCACATTCTTTCAGCCATTTCAAAATGTAAAACTATTGTTAGCTCATAAGCCATCAAAATACAGTTGGTAGATATATTGTAGTTTGCTAATCATAGGTTGCTGACCATGAATATGCCATATATTATCTTCACTCATTAATGGATTTTTAAGTAATTTTCATGTTTTTGACATTAAAATATAACATTATAATGATTGTTCTAATGAATAATATGATTATTTCCTTAGTGTGAATAAAGACAAGAGATTACTTAGTCAAAGATTATAAACACTTACTAGGATTAAGAAAAATACTGTCAAATTTCAAGGATTGCACATTTCCACTAGTAGTTTGTGCAAGTGAACATTTTCCCACCTCTTATCAATGCTGGGTATTAGTTATAATTGGGTAGTAGATAATGTCATGTGATTGTTCAATTTTACTTTTATTTAATTCAAATGTATTTGAACAGTTTTTCCATATATTTTTGTCCACTTGTGTTCCTTATGTATGTCCTTTGTCTATTTTTCTGTTGGCATGTTCATTTTTTTCATACTGATGTGTAACCTCTCTTTCGTATTAAGACTATTAACTCTTTGTCATGTGTTGTTTTCCTAGTTTATCATTTATTTTTTAATATGCATATGTATTTTGATGTGCTGACATATTTTACATTTTTATGTAGTTGTAGTTATTAATATACCCCCTTTTAAAATATATTTCAGTGTTTTTTATAATATTCACAAAGTTGTTCAATCATTATCTAATTTCAGAATAATCTTTTAGTAAGCTTTGTCTTTGGGTATTATTTAATTGTTTTTTTCTCTTAAAAATTTCTTTTGAAGAATTCTTAAGTACTATGAACCTTATGATCTATTTTAGATATCAGAGTATTAAACATGGGTCATCTTGCTAAAAATAATGTGGTTGTTAGAGGATTCTTTTAATATTTATTACTTATTGAATTGTTTATTTTCTTTTCATGTGCTAACTTATCTAATAAAAGTAGAGGTGATTTTTCTCTAATATATAGGTAAAGTATAGGAAGTCTGGAAAAAGAATCTCAATCCATTAATGACATTTTAGATTTTTGGAATGAGTAGAAAGAAACCTCTATAACAAAGTGTTGATTCATTTTATTTTGGTATCTTAAACAAATAAGAGCATTCCCCTACTTTGGGTTGTGCTTGGTAATCTAGTAGGCTGTTAAGTGTTTGTGATGGTTTTATTTTATTTTGAGTACTTCATATTTCTCCTTTTAATCTTTTAATGTCTTATTTGCAATTTAAGTTTTTGCCAGTAAATTTGGTTGAAAGTCTCAAAGATATTTCATAGTGGAATATAGTGGAACTATTGAAAACTTAATTCTTCGAACTGTAACTATGAAAATTTTGATCATCAGGATATAGTCCAAACAACTAAAATTTGGTGCATTGTTAAAACTTTAAACGATTTAGATATATCTTTTAAATAAAAATTGTCACATTTGTATTTTTAAAACACTCCTTTTTATACATATTTCTTTTTAAAAATATGTTTTTATTTATTTTAAAGAGAGAGGAAGAGAGAGGGACAGAGAATTAGAAACATCAATGAGAGAGACACAAGGATCAGGTGCCTCTTGCACACTCCCAACTGCGGATTGAGCCTGCAACCCAGGCATGTGCCTTCAACAGGAATTGAACCAGGGGCCTCTTGGCTCATGGGTGAACACTCAACTACTGAACCATATCAGCCAGGCTCTAAAATACTATTTTAAGAAAAATGATCCAGTTTAATTTTAAGTAGGTTTGATATTTTAGTCTCTTGTGGAATAATTTCAAACATGAGGTAGGATAAGGATTAATAAGAATTTTGAAATTTTTTTTAAGAATTGATATTTAAATGCTAATCTTTTTTTCTTTTGTTAGATGTTATCCTTCATGTATGCCCACTTGGCCTTCTTTCATCAAGGATATGATCTATTTAGTGAACTTGGGCCCTACATGAAGGACCTCGGTGCACAGGTATAGCTCTTGATTCTTTGTTATATACTGATATATACATTTTTAAAAATTGAGATATAGTTGACATATAACATTATATTACTGTAAGGTATACAATAAAATTATTTTACACACATGGAGACACACACACACACACACACACACACACACACGAAAGATCATCATAATAAGTCTAATTAGGATCCATCACCTCCTATAATTTTAAGTCTGTTCCTCTTGATCTATTCTCATATCAACATTCAAATATATAATACAGTATTATCTACACTAATAAAATAGAAAGATGCAAATTGACTGTACCTTTAAGACACCCACCAGCCAATCATGAGTGAGTATGCAAATTAACCCAACAAAGATAATGGTTAATTTGCATACACAGGTGCCAAGTGGCCAGGGGCTGGGCAGCATGGGAAGACGGAAAGGAGGTAAGAATGGCCAATTTTTAAGAGATTGCTAGGTAAAGGGAGTTCCATGAAAACAAAATGAAAGGAGATGGGAAACTGGGAGAATGTGGTAGTATAGGCTAAGGAAAGAGTGTCTCAAAAACGGAGGGCATGGTTACAGTACAAATATTGGAGAGAAGGTAAAGTAAACCTAGGACTGAGAAATACCTATTGGGTTTAGCAACAGAAGGTTACTTATCTCTGTGAGAGTTGAGAGTCCTCACAGCAGGAACTCTAAATTCTTAATTTATATTTATAAAGCTAAATTACAGTGAATAGATGAAAATGAAATGGGCAAGTAGAGAAGAGGGGAGAGTATTCAAGAAGTTGTGCTGTGAAGGAAAGAGAGAGAGAAGATGGTAGCTAGAGAGGAAGGTTTATTTAGGGTAGTGTGATTTGCAGATGTGAGGGCCATCTGGCTGCAACATCTGTCAACCCATTGATTGCCAGGATTGATTTGGCTGATCTTGCTGACTAGGCAGAGTCTTCTTCCTCCTTTACTGATCCTTGTGTGTCCCTTCTGAAGCTGGGCTCTCAGTCAAAGAGGACCACCTTCCCCACTGGAGGAGATGACCGTTTTCAGTCAGGCTTATACAAGTAGCTGTGCTCCCATGCTAGAACCTGCAGACAAGCCCTCAAGGCCCATTTATAGGAGAAAGTTGGGTAGTCAAGCTTCCAAGACTTCAGACATATCCAAATGAAGCTCTGCACATGTCTGTCTGCCTTTCTTAAAAAAAAAAAAAAAAAAAAAAAAGGAAAGGGGTAGTATGATTCACACAAATTTTAAAAGGGTAAGGGAATGGAAAAAGTTGAATAATAGAGAAGTGATATCTGAGGTGATAGGAGTGGTGAGAATTCAGAACACAGGTAGAGGATTGGGCTATCTAGTTACAGGGGCCTGTGAAACTCACAATCTCCAATAGTACTAGAAACATGGGGTACGTCCTGCTTTGCTCCAAACTCTCTGTTGCTGATACATTCCCAGCATCTAGAAGATAAGAAGGCTAGTCTTCACATCTGCCTAGCTCATAACTCCCCTAACTCTCCTCCAGGTTGACAAATATTTTTTCCTTTATACTTCTCCAACAGTTTAGGAGGGGGAATTTTCCCTCTTTCTGCTGCATTAGCAGTGGGGTAGAATGCAGAAGTAGAATTTACTACCAATTTGACAGGCACAAAAGCATCACTTCCACACAGTACTGTGTGGAAGGTACATCAAGTTTATTAGGTTGAATCTTGGAGTTTCGTGTATTGCACTTCAATCTGAATGAATAACATTTATATGCCATTCAATTAAAGGCTATAAAACCATGGGATAAGGATTATTCAGTATAGGAAACTATTGAGGACATACATTTTCCTAGTGTAGCATGTATCAGCATTACCCATTAAATCGTGTTACATAACACTAAGGTATGTATGTATTAGATCCTATAGTAGAATAGTATAGTTACCATCCAAATAAAATATTTCATAATAGTAATAGTTCAGTTTCAGTATGTTTTCTTTTGGTTCTTTATTACTATTCAGTGATATGAAGAATTTATGGCCAGAATATTCTCCTGTAAAAAAAAACAACATCATTTGTGATACAGACTGAATAAAGGATCAAATAGTTTAATTAATTAATTTTATCTTTATTGTTGCAAGTATTACAGATGTTCTTCCTTTTCCCCCTATTCACCCCCTCCACTATGCTTCTGCCCTGCCCTGCCCTAGGCCTTTACCACACTATGATTTGTGTCCATGGGTGATGCATATAAGTTTTTTTGGTTAATCTCTTCCAGCCAACTTGAAAACAGGAAGTATCTTATCCTGGTGAACTTCTGAGAGCTGCCTTGTACTAGCTTAGTTGCTTTTTTTTTTTGCTGTTGCAGAAAAAAAATCACCAGTGTATCTTCTTTCTATCTTTGATTGTAACTACCAGAATTGCTGAGTGGGTCAGCAGGTGATAGAAATTAGAGTCATTTTCTTTGTTCAAGGAGTGAACAAGTTATCTCGTATCCTTGACCAGGCATCCTGTCACATTTGTTTGAACCATGGTTATTCTTAGAAATATTTTCCTCAGAGGAGTTATGGACCTTTTCAAGGAGGATTTGATACTAGAAAACAAAATAAAACAAAAACATTTCCAATTTAAAGTTACAGTATAGTCAAAATGCTTTCTTAAAGTTCATTTAAATTGACTTACTGGGACTATGGTTATAAAAATAAGCATACGGTTTTTTAAAGTCTATATAATTTTCTCTTTCCCTTTATAGTTGGATCGAATGGCTGTGGATTCAGCAAAAGAGAAAAGAGAGATGGAGCAAAAACATTCCACCATTCAACAAAAGGTAGCTGAGGGGGAAAGTTGAAGGAGATTAATTTCCATTTTACTCAATAGTTTGATTATTGTTTTTTAGCAAGACACTGTTTTATTGGAACAAGTCATTTGAGTTGTTTTAATAATTAAATTTGCATGTGAATTCCTCTTTTTGTGAAAAGTAAAATATTTTTCGATGTCCAGGCATTTGTTTTATTATTCTTTTACATCAAAATATTTGAAACCATGCTCTTGAACCAGTTTGCAAAAACATCAATCTGTTAGGGCCTTAACTAATTTAAAAGTGTCCTTAGTTAGAATTTAAGACTATAGTTTCAGGTAGGCTGTTACCAATCCCTTTAGAAGTGTGTGTGTGTGTGTGTGTGTGTGTGTGTGTGTGTGTGTGTGTGGTGGTGGTGGTGGTGGGGTTGGGTTGGGAATGTGGGTGGGTAGGTAAGGGTGGAATACACCTCAGCATCAATGTGGATTTTGGTATTATGGACTTCCCATCTGGCAGCACTCTAAGGTAGCACCCTCCCATCTTAATGTGATGCTGAAATTCCACTTGCATTTCTTGTTAATTTGCCTAAGCCTAGCTAAACTGATATTGGAGAAATATATTTTTAAGTGAAAATTTAAGTATGAAACCAGTTTTTATTTCTGTGTGCTAAAAGCTTTGAATATTACAAACCTGGAATTCAACCTAATGATACTTATCTTACATAGTCAGTGATATTTTTTTGTAGTAATCTGAAAACAAAAGGAGAGATTTATAGGTTGAATATAATAACAATACAAGCATATGACAAGATGCCTCTGTCCTGTCAAGGCAGATGCCCTAACTACGAAGGTGGTTTTCCCAGGGTGAGGCTTTTGGATCACATTCCTGATCTAACACGTGAGATTTTCCCAGATGTGGCAAACTCAGCTAAATAATTTGTGGAAGTGGAGGGCTGGGTTTGTACTTTCCCCTAAAAGGAAAAAAAAGATGCCTTCTAGCATTGCTTTAAAGGAATCTGTTCCTTCGTTGTTGAGCAATCAAATCAACTTTTGTTATGATTGACTTAGAATTTAAAATACCATTAAACTAGATCTGACATAGAACATGTCAGGGGGGGGGGAAGAAAGTGAAATCGGTAATAAAAGTAAGGAAAATTTTGTTGGTGATGGGTTATTGATACTCAAAGAGAAATATTGTCTACCACTCCATCTTTAAATTTAGTTACTTCTAGCTATAGTCTAGTAAGACTAATTCCATCTTTTGTTTTTGTTAAAGGTTAAATTACTTTGGGTTGGGTAACTTTTTTAAATGACATTACCATGGAAAGATTTTTAAAAATTTGGGACCAATCATTTCTAATTAAAACAAGAGGTTATGATATTGTAGAAACACAGCTGTTTGCTTAAAATAAATTATTTGATTAATATTATGCATCTTTTAATGTCTTTCCCTATTATGTACACAATTCAAAGTTAGTAAACTATTAAATTTAAAATTAATTTATTTGATTTTTAAGTAATAGTATATTATTGTTTTCCTTTAAAGAAAATAATCCTATTTTTGCTCATTATAAACATATATACTTACTTTTTTTCTGCCCTTAAATGCTGACACAAGGCTGCCTTACAGGTAAAATAAAAAGGGGGGGGGGGGGGGAAGGAAAAAGATCCAGTCAATTAAAAATTAAGGGAAAGTCTGACTAATGTAATTATTTTGATTTTCAAGAATTGAAGTTAATCAGTTAAAGAAATAAAGATGCTATGCATAATCAATTCATGCAAACTATTTTTCAAAATGTTACATCATTCCCATCAGGCAGCACTGTCTGAGAATTCCCATTGCTCCTTGCCACCTCATTGTATTGTGAGAATTTTTTTTGGTGTGTGCTTATTTTGGTGGGTAGATAGTGACATCTCATTGTCATTTTAATTTATGAGGTATGCTTTAGTCACAAGTGAGCTTGAGTACCTTCCCTATGTCTCTGGTCACTTGAATATCCTGTTTTGAAATGTCTGTTAGTCTTTTTTCCAATTTTTCCATTAGATTGCCTAACTTGATCCTAGTCTTCATATATTCTGACTATATCCTTAAAAGGATATATGTTTTTGATTTTCACAAGTTGTTTTTTTTTTTTTTAAAGTCTTTTATGGTTTTGTGAGTGTGTGTGTGAGTGTGTGTGTGTGTGTGTGTGTGTGTATCTTTTCGTGTCTTGCTTAAATCCTTCCCAACCCAAGATCATGACGCTATATTTCCTGTATAATCTTGTGTGTTTGTAGGTTTGCCTTTTATGTTTCGATCTTTAATCCATCTGTAATTGGGGTTTTGTGTATGGTGTGAGGTAGAGATCCAGTTTCCTTTTTTGTCTCACATTGATAGCTAATCAGTTATTAAAAGGTTTATTATTTCCCTGCTATTCTGTGTTTTATTCTCTGTTATATGTCACATTTCCATATACAAGAGGCTGGCTTCAGGTTCTCTTCTTCATTGTGTCTGTGTGTGTGTGTTAGTTGTGCCAGTATTCTGTTGTCTTAAATATTTTAGCTATATAGTACCTCTTATATCTGACAAAGTAAAGCTTCCTACTCTCTTTTCTTCAAAAATGAATTGCCTAAATTTTGCATTTCCATTTAAATTTCAGAAGTATCTTTTCATGTATCATAAAAATTGCTTTTGGGAATTTGATTGAGAGATTGCATTAGATCTGTTATCAATTTGGGGAAGAATTCATATCTTTTTTCTGTAATGTCTTCTGATCCATGAGATTAAAATATTTTCTTCATTAAGTTTTCTTTAGTGTCCTTCATAAATTTTGATAATTTTCTTATACATCTTTTGTTATTTATTCCTAGATACTTGTATTACAAATGTTATTGTAAATATTATCTTTAATTTTTTTTAACTGTTTACTTTTGTATATAGTAAAGTAAAATGAACTTTTCTGTATTGATTTTATAACCGGTGATCTTGTTGCATTCTTTTTAGTACTAATTTGTCTCTGGATTCTTTGTGTACATCTTGGATATTCTGTGTATAAAGAAGTCATATCATCTGCAGATAATGATAGTTCATTTCTTCCTTTCTAATCTTTTGCTTTTTGTTTGTTATCTTGCTGGCTAAAACATCCACCATAATCTCAACTCAAAGTGGTAATGATGTTCCTTCTTGTCTTCTTTGCAATTTCAAAAGGGAAAGCTTCTGTTAGATTCCCTTTATTGGCCAACCTTACTCTTGCCTTCTGTTCCCTGGGCCCTACACCACAGCTTCAAGTCCTTCGGATGAGTCCAATGCCTTTAAGGTGAAAGCTAGCTTCCTTGCTCTGCTTACCTCTTTGGCTTCCAATTTTCACTCAGTCTTTGGCCTTTGAGTATTCCTTTCTGATTTGTCCACTCATCAATATATTTACAAGCTAATATTATATATCTTATCCAACATGATTAGTTACTTTCATTATATAATAATATAATCTGTCTCATTTTAAGTACAGCAAAATATTAATTTGATATTAATAATAATGAAATTTAAGGCTTAATTTACCTCAAAAATATAATTGAAAATTAGAATACTACAAATGTACTACATTTTTAATGAAGTCTTATTTGATATTTTAGATAGCATCAGGGTTATTAAAAAACTGCTGATGTTACAAATGAAATTCAATTAAAACTATTGCTGACTTAATCCTGTCTGCATAATTATATAAAGTATAGCCTCAAAGAAATTTTAAGTGAAGGAATTAAAATTTTCCTGATTTTTTCCCAAAGAAAAAATAGGAATAAATGTAATAATTCATTTATATATTCTGTTTCATTTGATTATTTTGTATTGTCATGTCTTCTTATGGGTTAATTTTAAGACATGTCAGGTGGATTTTGTTTATAATCCTGATTTTAGTTTACTTTTTTTTTTCTTCCATTTTTAAGACTCAGATTTGGAAGCCTTAGTTGATTCTCACTCTGCCTCTCTCTCAGTGCAGAAACTCCATGTCCAGCAATCTTGGCAGGTGCTCATTCAGCTTTTATAAAAATCTTTCTCAAGACAGAAAGTTTACTACTGCTAATAGGATAACATTCTATTTTGATCATTGGTCCAGAGTACTTTTGAAATTACTGAGACTGATTTTTGAAGTTTTAAATTTGGGGACAGCAGCAATCTTGGATTTTTATCAGATTACTTTGGAAGTTTATCAGGAAAAAATTTAAAGTGGGATTTATGATTTCAATATTTCATGAATCCTTGGGATAAATTTAAAGTTTGAATTGTATAAAAGTGAAGATTAGAATGACAGAAGGTTATGAATGATTCTATAGTCCTCATAAAAAAGAGAACTTGCAATGCCCACTTTAGACTGTGGCTCTCCTTCGTAAGACTAAATTTTATTTTAGGACAAAATGCCTTTATCTTATTTTATTACTCCCATATAGTGAAGTTATTACTTCTATCAGATTAAAAAACTACAATGATAGTAATATAATTAGAAAATAGTGGTAATATCATTTAAAAGTATCTTTTTAATAGTTAGCACACACATCACCTTAAAATGTTGATAAAAAGGAAAACACTTTAAATATAACACCCTGAATAATATTTAGTTGTTTGTTTATTTTTTGGTATACATATTATTTTGTACTTTTAGTCACAGTGTGTATAGAGTTTATATTGTTTTGTTTCCTCTTTCAGGTATATTTCATATAATCACCTATTTTTTATGTCATCATCATCATCATAACAATTATTGCATAATAGTCCACTGAATTGAAATTCTTTATTTAATATGTTGATACATTCTTCTGTTATTGAACATTTAGGTCTCCCCCTTTCTTATGACTATTGTTGATGTAACTATCTTAATGCGAAGTTTTTCTACCATTTGAACTGTTTTTCTAGGATACATTTATTGTCTAGCAACTTGAGTCAAATCATATAAAATTTCTTGTGTTATTTTGTCTAGGATTTCTCCAGTGATGATTCTAAGTTAGAATATAATGTAGATGCTGCAAATGGTATTGTTATGGAAGGATATCTGTTCAAACGAGCCAGCAATGCATTCAAAACTTGGAACAGGTAATATATTTCAAATTTTTCCATATTCTCAGAGTTCTAACTTTTCCTGTGATTTGACAACTCCTTCCTTCATAATTCTCTAAATTCATAGTTCATGGTAATTTTCCTGAACCCATTTCATTGAAGATAAGATGCCCTTCTAGGAAAGGGGACCTTAAGAAGCAAGTGAAAAATGACAACACTAACTTAAAGTTTAAAGGAGGAAGCAAAGGGAGTTTTTATAGTGATTGGTCTATACTGATTTGTCTATTACAGTAAGGACATTTTCAATTTGAGCTACCCCTCATATTTATTAGGAAATAGATCTGATTACAAATCATGTGTTGAATTTAATGGGTAAATAGGTCAAGTGAACTCTTCCCCCCTTTGATTTCCTGTTCTCTATGATGTTTTTTATATTTTCACTTAGTGTTTATTTATGAATTTTAAACAAGGTGCTTCTGATCTTTGCAATAATTTTAATTAATTCTGATCTTTGCAATAATTTTAATTAAGTTTTAGGAAATGGGATTATTCTTATGTGAATTGTGTATGGTAGCTGGTGCTCCTTTATACTTTTTTTTTTTTAAACATATTTTATTGATTTTTCACAGAGATGAAGAGAGAGGGATAGAGAGTTAGAAACACCGATGAGAGAGAATCATAGATCAGCCGCCTCTAGCACCCCCCCCCCCCCACCGGGGATGTGCCCACAACCAAGGCACATACCCTTGCCCGGAATCGAACCCCGGACCTTTCAGTCTGCAGGCCTTTGCTCAATCCACTGAGCCAAACCGGTCCAGCTGGTGCTCCTTTATTCTAAACTTGATAGCTACCAGAAACTCTGCATTTTTTTTTGCTAAATTTATTTTTATAAAATATTATTTCAGTAAATTCTGTTAAGTGAATGAATGTGTAAAGTATTTTCCCATGTATTAATATAATAAAGTGAAATCACTTGAGACATTATGGCTTTAAAAAAAGATTGGGTTGTCTCAGGATAATCCTTCTGAATAGCAGTTACTTAATTTTTTTTAATTCAGTGATGCCTATCTTTATGCAAAAAAAAAAAAAAGGGATAGTAGTCAGAACAATTTTGAATTAAGAGTAGTATTGGGTTCTAGTTAATTGATTTCCTATTATATTATTAGTTGAATATATAAATTTTATTATCTACTTAAACATAATATGAATTCACTTAATGATGGAGATTTTATTTTAAAAAATGTACATTAGCAAAATAAGTAGAGTGTTCCTGGTAAGTTTAGTATATATTTTTGTTTAAATGGAAATGACCATGCTTGAATATTCAACTTATTAAAATGGGTTCCTAGTGTACTTAATCTGATTTTTGGATTATGAGCTTATAGAGATAAAACATTCATTGACATTTTCAAATTTGAGCATTTCCGAATAAATTGGTATTACCAAATGTTTA